ACTAAGTCTATGTTAAGGTATGGAGTTACGGTCACCTTAGCGCTAAGACTACTAAGTCTATGTTAAGGTAAGACTACTAAGGAGTATACGGTCACCTTAGTGCTAAGACTACTAAGTCTATGTTAAGGTATGGGAGTTATGGTCACCTTAGCGCTAAGACTACTAAGTCTATGTTAAGGTATGGAGTTATGGTCACCTTAGGTCACCTTAGTGCTAAGACTACTAAGTCTATGTTAAGGTATGGGAGTTACGGTCACCTTAGTGCTAAGACTACTAAGTCTATGTTAAGGTATGGGAGTTATGGTCACCTTAGCGCTAAGACTACTAAGTCTATGTTAAGGTATAAGACTACTAAGGAGTTACGGTCACCTTAGTGCTAAGACTACTAAGTCTATGTTAAGGTATGGGAGTTATGGTCACCTTAGCTAAGACTACTAAGTCTATGTTAAGGTATGGGAGTTATGGTCACCTTAGCGCTAAGACTACTAAGTCTATGTTAAGGTATGGAGTTAGTCACCTTAGGTCTACCTTAGTATGGAGCTAAGACTACTAAGTCTATGTTGTTAAGGTCATGGGAGGTATATGGTCACCTTAGTGCTAAGACTACTAAGTCTATGTTAAGGTATGGGAGTTATGGTCACCTTAGTGCTAAGACTACTAAGTCTATGTTAAGGTATGGGAGTTATGGTCACCTGCTAAGACTACTAAGCTATGTTAAGGTATGGAGACGGTCACCTTACTGCTAAGACTACTAAGTCTATGTTAAGGTATGGGAGTTACGGTCACCTTAGTGCTAAGACTACTAAGTCTATGTTAAGGTATGGGAGTTATGGTCACCTTAGTGCTAAGACTACTAAGTCTATGTTAAGGTATGGAGTTATGGTCACCTTAGTGCTAAGACTACTAAGTCTATGTTAAGGTATGGGAGTTATGGTCACCTTAGTGCTAAGACTACTAAGTCTATGTTAAGGTATGGGAGTTATGGTCACCTTAGTGCTAAGACTACTAAGTCTATGTTAAGGTATAAGGGATGGGAGTTATGGTCACCTTAGTGCTAAGACTACTAAGTCTATGTTAAGGTATGGGAGTTATGGTCACCTTAGTGCTAAGACTACTAAGTCTATGTTAAGGTATGGAGTTACGGTCACCTTAGTGCTAAGACTTACTAAGACTACTAAGTCTATGTTAAGGTATGGGAGTTACGGTCACCTTAGCGCTAAGACTACTAAGTCTATGTTAAGGTATGGGAGTTATGGTCACCTTAGTGCTAAGACTACTAAGTCTATGTTAAGGTATGGGAGTTACGGTCACCTTAGTGCTAAGACTACTAAGTCTATGTTAAGGTATGGGAGTTACGGTCACCTTAGCGCTAAGACTACTAAGTCTATGTTAAGGTATGGGAGTTATGGTCACCTTAGTGCTAAGACTACTAAGTCTATGTTAAGGTATGGAGTTACGGTCACCTTAGTGCTAAGACTACTAAGTCTATGTTAAGGTATGGGAGTTATGGTCACCTTAGTGCTAAGACTACTAAGTCTATGTTAAGGTATGGGAGTTATGGTCACCTTAGTGCTAAGACTAACTATGTTAAGTGGGAGTTACGGTTAGTGCTAAGACTAGTCTATGTTAAGGTATGGGAGTTACGGTCACCTTAGTGCTAAGACTACTAAGTCTATGTTAAGGTATGGGAGTTACGGTCACCTTAGTGCTAAGACTACTAAGTCTATGTTAAGGTATGCTAAGACTACTAAGAGTTACGGTCACCTTAGTGCTAAGACTACTAAGTCTATGTTAAGGTATGGGAGTTACGGTCACCTTAGCGCTAAGACTACTAAGTCTATGTTAAGGTATGGGAGTTATGGTTAGTGCTAAGACTACTAAGTCTATGTTAAGGTATGGGAGTTATGGTCACCTTAGTGCTAAGACTACTAAGTCTATGTTAAGGTATGGGAGTTACGGTGGTAGTGCTAAGACTACTAAGTCTATGTTAAGGTATGGGAGACTACTAAGACTACTAAGTCTATGTTAAGGTATGGGAGTTATGGTCACCTTAGCGCTAAGACTACTAAGTCTATGTTAAGGTATGGGAGTTATGGTCACCTTAGTGCTAAGACTACTAAGTCTGTGTTAAGGTATGGGAGTTATGGTCACCTTAGCGCTAAGACTACTAAGTCTATGTTAAGGTATGGGAGTTATGGTCACCTTAGTGCTAAGACTACTAAGTCTATGTTAAGGTATGGGAGTTATGGTCACCTTAGCGCTAAGACTACTAAGTCTATGTTAAGGTATGGGAGTTATGGTCACCTTAGCGCTAAGACTACTAAGTCTATGTTAAGGTATGGAGTCACGGTCACCTTAGCGCTAAGATGGCTTTGTACAATGGCATGAATACATATTGTTCTGTTCTAACTTCATAATGCCTGATTGACACCCAAGTATGTGTAACCAAAAGTCTGTTTTATGTCAAGAAGTTACAGTGCTCAAGTGTTCTTCGCTTGCATTTACTGTCTGATATATTCTCTGGTGTTGAGTATAAATCAGAGTGAGGTATTAGTAGTGGAGAGATAAGTGTCAACATCACCTTAGGGATTGTATGACAGTGATGCATCAAGCCAGATGTTGTAGAACTAAAATTGCCAATGAAGGCACTGATTAATGCAAACTCACCAACATCTGTTACTGAGTGATTGTTTGATCCAGGTCAGAATAGTTTCCAGAGGCGGTGCAGTCTTATTCCCGCCATATGGTGGCGGTCTGTAAATAAATGAGAGAGCATCGACCTACATAACTGGGATAAGATGATATGTGTCAACCAAGTCAGTAAGTCTGACTACCGATCCCGTTACTTGCCACTTACAAGGATGGGTTACTGAAGAGTGTGTTCAGTTTCAGGTTGCAATCAGCAATATTCCGGCTATATGGCGGCGGTCATGGACATGGTGATAGCTATAAAAATACAGCATCACTTTATTGTGAAAGTGTGCATTGGTGAGTGCAGCCAGTTGGGGGTTGACTGACGACCTGTAAAGTTACAATTGGGTGATTAGCACTGATTGGTAATATAACGTTGTTAATACAGTTTGATGATTTTACAGTTTTAATTAAAATGGTTTCCAGTACTACCAAGGGGTGCTGGCCCAGATTTGCAACAAACAAACCGACCAACCCAAAAGCGTAGATCGATGTTCATGCTGTTGATCACTGGATTGTCTGGTCCAGATCGATTATTTACAAACCTCCGCCATATAGCTGGAATATTGCTGAGTGTTGCGTTTAACAACAAACCAACCAACCCAGTTGCGTAGGTCGATGTGCATGCTGTTGATCACAGGATTGTCTGGTCCAGATCGATTATTTACAAATCTATAACTGGAATATTCGAGGGCGGCTTTAAAACAAACAAACATAAATATAAACTAGCGTCCAAAAGAAAGGCCACCAAATATTTTTTCTGGTCTAAAACAAAACAAAATTAAATTATGGTAACATTAAATGTTTTATTGTAAACAGCAATCATTCAGCAACAGTATTTAATGGATAACAAGAAGAAAAACGACGCAGATCATGATCTACTGGCACATGAAAGACATTGGGTGCATTGTCCAGCATTTGTTCACCAATGCAGAATCGACAGGGAGCTTTTACAACTTTCTGGACCGCACATATTGTTCAATACCGGGTATGGCCATCCCTAGCAGTGATACAGGCCCGAACCCGGCGTCGAACTGAGTAGGTGAGTCTTTTGACGTCTTGATTAGGGATCCGACGCCATTCCTCTTGCAGGGCAACTGCCAAAAGCGTTTCTTGTTAATGGCTGATTTTGGCGTTTCCGAATACGACGTCCCAGTTGGTCCCAAAGATGCTTAATTGGAGAAAGATCGGGCAACCTCGTCCGTCAGACTTGAAGAACTGGAACCTGCTTTCGTCACGAAAGAGCGCTCTTCGCCAGTTTCACTGTTGCCAGTGTGGCACAGTCCTGGTCCATCTCAGTCTGGCACGTTGGTGTTGGCACGTCGACGTCATGCCCTTGAAAGGTCGAGAGGCACGGAGACCATCTGTCTGCTCACTGGATGACCAAGGCTAATGACGCTTGATGACGTCACAGTGACGTATCGGTTCCTCAGGTGAAACACCCGTAATTACCGGTCTTCTTGTCGGGTAGTGACCTTCGGTCTACCACTGCGAGGCCTGTCTGCAGTACTGCCAGTATGTCGTAGACGTATGCCAGTCCTGGCGATGGTGGATTTCCAGCATCCCATGGTCCTAGCCACATGCTGTTGTGTTGCTGCCATCTGTAGCATACCGATTGCTCTCCCCATCTGCTCTACTGTTTAACGAGGTATGTTTCTGGTTGTCAATCAATTAACATGATGGAAGAGAATAAACCTGGTTAGCTTATATACCCTTATATGATACGGGTAACTTTGTGCACAATTTCCATTTTACGCGTGTAAATTCGGTTTTGTTGTACTAAGTACGAAATGCAAGTGTTCACTGGGAATAGCTATGTTATGTTCGAGAGATGTGCTATTTTCGAACAGATTGACAATTACTTTGAAAATGTATAATCATTTTTATTTTGGTGGCGTTTCTTTTGGACGCTAGTTTATTACTTGTTTATCCTGCTGACCACATTTCTTTGCTCTTTGGCGTAAAACTTAACTCACTCACTCACTCACTCTAAGGGGCATTGGGGTAGCCTAGTGGTTAAGCATGTGCTCATCAAGCCGAGAACCCGGGTTCAATTCCCACATGGGTACAATGTGTGAAGCCCATTTCTGGTGTCCCCCGACGTGATGTTGCTGGAATATTGCTAAAAGCGGCGTAAAACCAAACTCAGTCAGTCAGTCAGTCTTTGCTCACAGAAATGATGGCGCACGACTTACTTCCCCCTGGCTGCAGATCACCTGACAATATGCAGCAAACCGTAATGCATTTATATTAACATTAACATCCCACCACATATATCTTATAGCATTACGCATACTCCGCACCGCGTGGTGTGGTATCGTCTCTGAAGATCTCAGTCACACGCAGTGCTGGAACGCTAGTCTGTGTCACCCCCATCTATGCATGCTCCACCAGAACCGACCATGATTTGTACGGCGTTCCTTGTATTGACACTCTCAGTGTTTGTAGCTGAGCCCCGAAGTGTTGTTCAAACTAAATCCGGACTTTGCGAGCCGAACTGGTGCGGAATGGTGTAAGTAGACATGTACAGAAATCATTCTCGTTAATATCCAACCATCAACTTTATATTTTGACTACCATCCTCATCCTGTGAAGTTGTGTGACTTTCAGCTTAAAATCGAATACAGGAGTTGCCCATGAGTCCATTCGGAAAAGAACACAAAGATCCGGGTTAGAATTGGTCTTCAGCAACCCATGCTTGTCGTAAGAGGCGACTAACGGGATCGGTGGTCAGAGTCGCTCACTTGGTTGACACATGTCATTGTATCCCAATTGCGTTGATCGATGCTATCGCTGGTGATCACTGGACTGTCTGGTCCAGACTCGATTATTTACAGACTACATAGATCTGGGGCCGTATTTATAAAAATTCTTAGAATTGGTAAGAATTCTTAAATCAATAAAATTCTTAGAATTCCATTATATTTACACTTAAGTGTTAAGAATTTCTTAAGACACATGTATAAAACTTTGTACTCTTAGAATTAATAACTAGTTAAGAATTTTCTTAGCTTGACAAACATGGCCGCTCGTATGCGTCGCTTGAGAGATTTTAGGTTAAGAAGAGATGTACTAGCAGTGTACAACAATGAAGAATTGATAAAGAGGTACCGTATGGACTTGGGGGGGGGGGGGGGATTCTTTTCATCACCAATTTGGTCCGGCAACATTTGACAAGTCCGTCAAAACGGAATCATTCCTTGGACGCTGAGACTAAGATTGCCATCACTCTGCGTTACTTAGCTACTGGCAAAATGCAGCTTTGTAGTGGCGACGATTTCGGTGTAAGTCAGCCCACTGTCAGTAGAATAATATCCGAAACTTTGTCAGAACGTAAACAAACTAAACTCGGTTCAGACTGCTATTCAACTCTTCTTATATGTCAGCGCAAGCGTCGCCATCGACATGACGTAAGCTATTTATAACCTCGGGGAATTCCCGGATTTCCCTTGGCTACAGGGCTAAGTATTTTCTTGAGATCGAACTCCCATTCTCAGTTAAGAGTTACTCTTAGACCCTTTATGTATAATTCTTAAGATTTACTTTTAGCTAAGATTTTGTTTTGGTAATCTTAGAGCAAAACTAAGAATTTTGTGGCCCCTGGAATATTGCCACATTTCTGGACCATCCATAATATTGCCACAGCTTCGGACCTTCCATAACATTGCCACAGTTCTGGGCCATCCATTACATTGCCACAGCTTCGGACCATCCATAACATTGCCACATTTCTGGACCATCTATAACATTGCCACAGCTTCGGACCATCCATAACATTGCCACAGTTCCGGACCATCCATTACATTGCCACAGCTTCGGATCTTCCATAACATTGCCACAGTTCTGGGCCATCCACAACATTGCCACATTTCTGGGCCATCCATAACATTGCCACAGTTCTGGACCATCCATTACATTGCCACAGCTTCGGACCTTCCATAACATTGCCACTTTTCTGGACCATCCATTACATTGCCACAGCTTCGGACCTTCCATAACATTGCCACATTTGTGGACCATCCATAACATTGTCACAATTCTGGGCCATCCATAACATTGCCACAGTTCTGGACCATCCATTAACATACCAACACACGAGAGGCGATTATACAACAATACTACTTGAAATTTATTAACGGCCAACCGATTCTTAAAAGAGTTACAGTTCTGTCATACCCTGAACTGTGTATTGTTTTACTCCGCTCAGCAATATCACGGCAGGGGACACCAGGAATGGGCTTCACACATTGTACCCATGTGGGGAATCGAACCCGGGTCTTCGGCTTGACGAGCTAATCATCAACCGCTAGGCTACCCATTGGCCCCCAATGAACTACAGTAACTATAGGTAATCCACAATGGCATAAAATCATTCGTACCTCAAAGGAAACTATTTCTGCCATTAGGGTAAGAAGGTTTTGTCCTGAAGACAGAGGATCCAAGTCAAATCCTGGAATGCGATCTCACAACCAGCAGACCAGAAGTATCGACCCTTGATTCACGTTAGCAGCCTTAACGGGTCGGAAGGCCAGACTCCATGACTATGTTGATTGTGTTTCACGTGTTCTGACGGCGTCAGATGTTGCTTATATTGTCACTCTCTGGATTGATTGGACCAGAACCACGCTTCATTCGCGACTTTATTGACCATGTGACGCTGAATTGTAATTCACTGATTCCAAACCACCGCCATATAGCTGCCCCCGGCGTTATGCGACAAGATGAAATAATAATTGTAATGATAATGATGGACCGGTCAAGTTACAGGGAAGAGGAGTTATTGGGCATCTTGTGGAAGATCAGGCCTACACCTATCTTGGAATGCAAGTTCGAGACAAGCTCCAGAATGCCCAAATTGACGACAAACTTCGGGCCGAGTATAAAACTCGCTTAAAGAAAATTTGGAGCCCAGAGTCATTTGTGGAGAAACTTTCTGAGCAGCCATTGCATTGTGTGCACATGCAGTGTGTGTAACAATGGCAATCCAACTGACTCCTTCGCCTGGATGAAGTCAGCTGGGCTTAAATGTGAAACTGAGGGCTTCATTTAAGCTGCTCAGAACTTCCCTCTCGCAATCGCCCAAATGTGATTCTTAAAGAAAATATTAACATGAAATGCGGACTGTGTAATGAATTTACAGAGACTGTCCAACACCTTGTTAGTAGATGCCCTTCCTTGGCACAAGTTTCATATCTTATAAGACATGATGGCATGGTTCGCTGACTCTACTATCGTCTTCGCCATGATTGTGGCTCCTACTCCGAGGTCCATCCATGATACATCGAGCTCATTGCCAAAGGAGATACCAAGAACAGGTTCTCCATTGGCATGACATTTGGACTCGAAAAATGTAATACTCTTCACCTGAAATGTGGCAAGGTAACTAATGTTGGATCGGTCAAGGTGTGTGTGTGTGTGTGTGTGTGTGTGTGTGTGTGTGTGTGTGTGTGTGTGTGTGTGTGTGTGTGTGTGTGTGTGTGTGTGTGTGTGTGTGTGTGTGTGTGTGTGTGTGTGTGAGAGAGAGAGCGAGAGAGTGTGAGTGATTGAGCATCTTGTGGGAGATGAGGCCTACACCTATCTTGGAATGTTTGTTCGAGACAAGCTCCAGAATGCCCAACATCCAAGACAAACTTCGGGCCGAGTATGAATCTGGAGCTTAGAGCTTTATGCTCGAAACAAGGTCAAAGCCACCAATATTTTTGCTGTGCCAGTCCTTTCCTATTCCTTTGGAGTAGTTGGTTGGACAAAACAAGACATCCAGAGTCTTGACCGCCTGACCAGAAGGATCATGTCTGATAACAGAGCCCACCACCCTCGTTCCTCTCTTAATCGTTTATATATGCCTATCAGTTCGGGAGGTCGGGATTTAATTAATGTGAATAGATAGAATTCTATAGTGTATTCTTTGCACATATTTATTTATCGGACGACCCTCTGGTGATGCATGTCCAGCGCGTCAAGGCAAATGATGAAGGTAATGGAGAGGGCTGCAGTATTGGGAGTCTACATATTCTCCGGAAAGTTCTTGGTTGGTTCGACTCGGCAGCGCTTCCTGGGAGAAGTCGATTCGCTGTCTGGGCTGCGTGTAGACATTACTGAGCTGATGATGAGCCTTACCAGCCTGACTGTGCCAGGATCACCCGATCCCTCTCTACTGCATACTATATTAATCAATATCTCAGGCACATATATGTAGGGCAAAGTTAGATACTTGACAACATATGCTGAAAATGTGAATCATAATCACTGCTGTTTCCATATTTAATCAAGCAATAAAACAACATTCCGTAGTCATTTTATTAAAATATTTATGTAATTCATTGGAAAGTTATCAGAGATATTCTTAGCGTGTAACTGATCTCATGAAGTGAAAACTGGTTCCATTTTTTCGCCTTGCTGTTAAGATATAGTGAATGAGTTAGATAGATTTACGCCTCTTTCAGCAACATTTCAGCATTATTACGACGGGGAAGACCAGATACGGTTTCATCCATTGTACCCATCCATTGTGGAGAATCGAACCCGGGTTTACGACTTGACGAGCGAACACTTCCACCACTAGGCTACCCCACCGCTCCTCTTTAGATAAAACCCATTTTCAGGAATCTGGCTTATATGATATTTTGCCACAGTGCCGTATATATAGTTTGGTGTTTTATAGTTTTATGGCGACGTAGGCCAAAAAGAGGCCTAATTTCGCCCAACACATTGACTTGAATTATTATAAATCACAGCTCATTACATAGCCAAAAGGAATCGTTTAGATAACATAAATGAGACGTCAGCACCATTAATATTCATTTGGATACACAGATACATATAAAGAATAACTTATGCTTCGTTTTAACCTCGTTAAAACCTAAAGTAATCACTTCCATTTCTGAAACATGACATACCCATTCATTTAAAAAACAGTAGGTTAAGATGACAGAGCGTTAAAATGTGATCTCTGGGGTGCAGTTTCTTGAGTTGTGTTTCGTTGTCGTACCAGGATTCGGTGTACGTGAGTTATAATTTCGAATTCTATATGAGTATGATGTTAGTTTTGCTATTTCAAAAGGATCTATCTGAAGACTGGTTATTCTCTTGCATTGACGTTCTATATGTGCTTGAACTGGGTCGATGTATTTGCTGATGGGCTGAAGTCACTGATTTTCATTATAAGCTCAGTAGCGTTTATACATTGTGACTGAATTGAAGAGTTTTTTGGGTCAGTCAAACTCAAATTGCTTCCAAAGTGTCACAAAACGAATTAAATTAAAGTGTGATTTTTGCGAACTCAAAAGACCACTAATGTCAGTGTGTCATAATCATAGTTCTTTAACCATATAACTAATAAATATAGAAGTGGCTGGAACCAAAACACATGTATCCGCCATCTTGATCTTTATAAACGCAGCTTTTCTCAAACCTTTTCTTTACTTATAAACTGAAGAATCCTTCCCTTCTATACAATTGAGACCCCTGAAGATTCGGGTTGGAATCGGTCTTCATCAACCCATGCTTGTCTCC